CCCCGCCATGGGTGTCCCTTCGTGTCTCCTCACAACTCCGTGGGTGCCCCCTGAGCTGGGTGTGTGCTCTGACAGCCCCTCTGTGGGTGCCTCCCGGGTGGGTTGTCTCCTCAGGCAGGTTCTGTGGGTGCCCTGGAGTGACTGTCCCATCGTGTCCCCTCACACAGCCCTTGCAGCTGCCCCCTCAGCTCCTTTCACACCCTCTGTGGGTGCCCCCCAGGTGGGTGCCCTCTCTTATCTCCCCACACGCAGCCTCCAGTTGCCCCTGGATGTCTCTGCAAGCTCCAGGGGTGCCCTCCCTCGGGTGGGTGTCCCTTCATGTCCCCTCACAGCCCCTCGGTGGGTGCCCCCAGGTGGGTGTCCCCTCAGAGCCTTCATCCCTGGGTGGGCTCCCTGGGCTGATCAGTGCTGGGGTAGGAAAGTTTATCCCAGTCCCATGTAATTCCTGGAGGGCAAACTGCAGTCCTGGTGTGTTGTTGCAAGGGCACCAGCCCTTTCCACGGGAACTGTGGAAATAGGTTAATAGGAAATAAGTTTGGTTTGGTTTTTGTGTGTGTTTTTCCTTTTTTTTTTTTTTTTTTTAATGAAGCTGGGAGCTTAAGGGTGTTAATTGCATTTCTTCAGCATGATTAGATATTCTAATTTCTGTCTTTTTAATCCTTAGCTGCTTATTACAAGGAAAAATGTATTAAATTTATGTTTGTCCTAGTGAGTGTGTCAGAGGCTACTTTAGAAATGGGGCTTGAAGAGCTGCCCAACTGCTGTAGCTTTTTGTTGGGGCTGCTGTTTGCCTTGTATCTGCCAGGGATAGTTTTGATCCCAACAAATGATGCTGCAGGTGAAACCTTCAGCCCAGATGGGACTGTGTGGAAGTGGTGAACTCTTCTCAGGTGCTGTCTGCCATTTTCTGGATTACTTTTTTCACTATTCCACAAATCAGGACTTCATTCTGTTGGGGGCTTCTACTATAATACAAAGAACAGCTCCTCTTCTTCATCCTGCTTTTGCAAACTCCTCATGATTTGTGTTTGCCAAGAGCTTTTACCCTGCAGTGAGGGCAGAATGATTGATGTCTCAGGGTTATTGCTGTATGGTATGCTTCTGGAAGAAGTAAAATAAGCTCCCTTCTCTGTGAGCTGCCCCAAGTCCCTCAGCTCTGTGTGTTTCATGCCAAGCCAGAACTAGTACAAGCTATCTTGGGCTAGTGTGTGAGTTCAGGCATCATGCTAACACAGTTCTTCTGTGCTTTAAATAAGAGTTGGTCCGTGTTCCACCATCTAAGATCATGGACAAGCTTCCTTCACATCCGCCCATTATGTACCATGTGGACATAGCCAACATTGTTTTTGTTGTAAAACTGAAAAGCTGAGCTGTGCATGGTGGGAGTTCTTTAAAAAGGGCAGTTATGCCAAAGGAAACACAGGGAGCAGATTTTTTTTGCAGTGTTCTCCACTCCCACCAGTTCCACTTTATGATGAAAGTTTCCCCTAAAACTGTTGTTTCTCTCTTGCCACAAAGTTCGTTGCAGAAATATTCAGGCAAGGTTAGTGGAGAACGGAGTCACACTGAGCTATCATCAGTGGTTCTTTGTGGGTCTTTACAGTAGATGGTTAATTAGGAGTGTGTGTGAAAGAGAGTGTGACCTTCAGGGCAGAAAGGCAGGAAGAGTTTCGGAAGTGAAGATAATTACCTGAACTGGCTTATGGTTGTGCTAGAAAATAGCTGAAAACCACAAATGCTGAGTACTCGGTCTTAATGGCAGTAGTGACTGATTTACCCCTTAAATTGATGCTGAGGACTGACTCTTGTGATTGCCTGGCACAGGAAGTCTGAGTGTCAATAATTTACAGTTGATGTTACCACTGTAATTACATGGAACTTCTAGAGGGTAGATGCATAATGAGAAATATTTTTCTCTTCCTTTCTTGTAGGATGGAAGACAGACCAGTCTGAAAAACTGTTCCGTTGTGGACTTTGCTGTTGTCTGCTAGAATGTTCCTTATGAATGCGTCTCCTTTGGTAGCTCTTCAGACAAAATGGGAATCCTTTGGACCAGCAAGGAATTGTAGATACCCTGTTTGCTTCTCCGAGTCTGAAGGGGACGTCACTAGAACCTCTGTAAGTGCGAAAGTTCAGATGATCATAAACAACCTGCAAAGCCAAGAGTGTCCCCTGGGTATGAACAATGAGTATGATTGTATTATGCAGAAGAAACAAAAGGGAGAAAAGGGCACTAGTAACAGAGTCAATTCTAGTGCCACGTTGCTACGGAAGCATCCTCAGTACACCAAGTGCAGTTGCCCTGCTGATTCAGATGACACTGAAGTGGAAGAGAACGTGGGGTTTGGGACTCTCTTGCTTGATTCTGATAGCGATGATTCTGTTGACCGGGGGATAGAGGAGGCCATTCAAGAGTACTTGAAAGCAAAAAGCAAAAGAGAGCAAAGGAATGCGGAGCGATCTGAAAACCTAAGTAGAGACAAAAGGTTTAAGAGGGAATTCTCCCAGAACAAAATGGCTGGTAACCTTCTGCCTGTCAAATTTAAAGCTGAGATGCTCTCTGAAGAGTACCTGTCTGACCACCTGGGAATTGGCAAAAGGCTGCAACCTGCATCCCCTCAGAGCATCAGTAGTGATGACTCTTTTGAACAGAGCATACAAGCTGAAATAGTGCAGTTCTTGAATGAGAAGAAGCAGCAAGAAATCAGTAAATGTGTGATTGGGGAGGATAAAAAAGATTCTCCTGTGAGAACGGTCCTAAAATGCAACAAGGAAACACCAAACCCACCAGACTGTGGTGCCCTGAGGCAAGGGTGTAACGCGCTCCTCTTGAGCAAGCTGCAGAAAACAAGCACGCAGTCCAAATGTCTGCAGCCTAAAATCCGAGAAGAACCCAGTGATTTCAGCCAGGTGGACCAAGCCTATCTAGAAATGGCCACTGTCAGCCAGCCCTGGATAGTGGAGCAAAGTGAAGAAAGTGGAGCTAATTCCTGGGAGACGAGGGGAGCGCTTAGGAACGAGAGCGCGCACACGTCTGACTCCAGTAGTGATGATGGCATCGAAGAAGCCATTCAGCTTTATCAGCTGGAGAAAATCAGGAAAGAGGCAGCTCATGGAACAAACTGTGTCCCTTTGCAGAGGGAGCAATTTGATGCAAAGGGTATGGCAGACATTTCTGCAAGCCTGACTATTAGCTCCACAAAAAGTGCCTCACCAGAAATCCATAAAAGCCCCGTAGGCAGCAAGAGAAAAGGAACTAATTCCAAGTCAACAGAATTAGAAAGCACCAGCAATGAATTTAACAAGCTGTTTAAACCACTGAAAAAAGCCAGACATTTTGCACCTCCAGAAAACAAGATTGCTGCTTGTGAGCTCACGTTGCAGGCCTCTTGCAGAGCAGACTCCTCTGCAGAACTCATGTGTGCAGAAGCTATCCTTGATATTTCCAAAACAATTATGCCATCCCAAATGGGAAGTGACAACAAATCACTCGCTGCAGACTCATTCTTTTCTCCCCAGCTTCTCTCCTCGCCCCACTGTGAAAGTGACAGCAGCCTTGTGGACAGTGATGATAGTATAGAGCAAGAAATCAGGGCTTTTTTGGCTCTGAAAGCACAGTCCAAAAGCCTTGGATCAAAGCCTTCCAGCCTGTCACACTCAATCCAGACGCCTTTGCCTTCTGATCGAAACAGCCTCACAGGCACCCTTGAGCCTTCTCTTCCCAAAACACTGCAACTATCACTGTGTCCTAAGAGGAGACTTAAAAGGGAAGACAGAATGGCAAAACAAGGTGCATCAAAACTACCTGAACAGTTGGAGACAGGACTTTTCCAGCCAGGTAACTACTCAAAATTCCCTGTGCTCCAAGAGGCATGTGCCTTGAGCAGCCCTGCAGAACTCAGTGGTGCTCAAAGGCAGCAGCAGCCAATGTCTTCCGAATTACCTGGGTCTGTTGGCAGATGTGTGGCCATCTCTGTAAACCCTTTTATGCAGGTTCAGAGCAGCACAAGAAAGCTCATGAAAAATCCCACCCCGACTCAAGAGAGGGATGGTTCGGATGATGAGAGCAGTTCTCTGGACAGTGATGAGGACCTTGATAGTGCCATCAAGGACCTTTTACGGTCTAAAAGAAAATTAAAGAAGAAATCCAAGGACCAGAAGTCTCAGTGCAAGAAGAGAGTCAGGTTCAGCGAGGCAGAAACTCCGCTGCTTGATGAATTCAGTAGCTTCCAACAGAATGAGTGCAAGTGTAAAAATCCCGTGCTACTGAAAAGCTGCCTCTCAAAACCTAGAAAAGCTGTGAAAGAAAATGCAATGAGAAACCCTTCAGAGAGCATAAATGTCAAACTTTCCAATGAAAAACCAGAAGCCACAAAGAACCTGGAGTCTGAGTTGCAGCTTAAAAAAGGATATAAACCTAAGCCTGTTTCAAACCAGAGTAACCTGCGGGTGGCTAAAAATAGACAATGTTCTTTCAGAGCTGCATCAGATGCTGATGACAGCAGTTCAGTGGACAGTGATGACAGTATTGAACAAGAAATTAGGAGGTTTTTGGCAGAAAAGGCTAAAGACTCTGCAAGCAGTTCAGAGGTGCAAAAAGATGAGGCAGCTCTGGACCTGTTGAGAGTGACCAAACCAATGGCTAATAAAGGAAAAGCCAAGCAACAGCCAGTTGAAAGTGAGATTGAGCTCATGTTGGGTCAGAGTAAAAGGACTGAGGTGTCTCAGCAAACTGAGGAGTTGAAGAACTCTCAGAGAACAGAAGGGAAAAGTGCAATGTTACCTGGCAGTGGGAAATCTGTTTCCTCTGCAGAGAATGTTAATTGTCAGACTACTGGTCAGTCAAAAGCCAAGCAAGGACTGGTGGGGGTTAAAGGTGTTGCTGGTGGTGAGTTGTCTGGAAACACAACAGGTAAAAAGGGTGTCCCAAACGCACCTAAAGCCAGCAAAAAGGAAGGTTGTAAAGTGCGGAAAGTAATTAATGCAAAGTCCAGATCTAAAAGGAAGAACACCTTTCACCTAAAAATTTCAAGTAAATTTATTGCAGGTCTAAAATACACTCGGGACAGGAAGAAATCCATGCTTATGAACAAAAGGCAGAAAGCAGAGCTTCTGCTGGCCCAGAGCAGTGCGTTAGGAACAGAGGTGGCTCCCCAGGACACAGGTGTGGCTAGCCAGGGAAGAGGAGCCCCTGTGCCAAAAGGTGAATTTAGTGGGGAGTGCACAACAGCAATAAAAGAATCCAGTTCCCCTCAGCAGCTCGCTGTGGAAGTGTCAAGTCCCCATGTAGCAGAAACCTGTGCAAGACTGGAGCCTGCTCCTCTGTGCATTGAAGAGGAAGCAGAGGGATGTGGAAAGGCTGATATCTCAGGAGCACAGTCAGACTCCCACCCAAGTCTCCCCTTGCAGGAGCAGAGCGTGGCAGCAATAAAAGTAGATGAGGTTTGCAGAGGGACACTGAAAGCTGAGAACACACAAATGTGGATTGAGGAAGGAGATATCCACAAAGGCAGCTGGGCAGGTTCAAACTCAGATCCCCCACACCCTGAGCACGGTGTGGCAAAGGTGGTAAAAGCAGATAAAGTTAGCAGAGACACATCTCAGCAGGGCCTACAAGCATGTGCTGAGGGAGAGGACAACCAGCAGGACAAGAGGCCAGATCCAAGGTTAGGCTGCCCACTGCAGGAACTAAATGTGGCAGCTGGAGCAGTGGATATAACTAGTGGAGGAGCATTTACAAATAACAGTGTGCCAGTGTGCATAAAGAAGGAAAAAGTCACCTGCCAGGACATTGACAGGCAGGAAGAAATTCAGGTATCCAGCCCCAGTTTGGAAGGAAAAATACCTGTCCTGCAGAATAGGGAAACTGCTTGTGAAGTGGACCAAGGGCAGGAAGTTTCAGTCAAAAACTGTGCAAAATTTACTGACGTACCTGCAGGGGTCTGCCCAGATTGAAAAGAAAAGTTTCAAATATGTAAGTACACTTTTTTCTTTACAGTAACAGTCTTTGTAGGAAATGCCTATCATTAAAATTACCTTGCTAAAACTTGAGACATGAAAGGAGAGACAGTGGGAAATGCTGATAACCTATATATCAGATACACACTAATGTGAAAAATGCTTCTATTTAACAGGGATATCATGGCTAAACATATATAGTTGTTTTTTGTAGAATTTTGTAAATTATTTAAAGTGCTCTAAGGAAATATTTTTTTATAATGATTTTTAGGGCTCACAATTACTACAGGGTGTTGTAGTTACTGTAGATAAGATACTGGTTAATCACTCTTTAAATTATGAGGCCTCTAATCACATATCAAAAGGAAACCTGTTTGTACTCAGAATATATTTGGCAATCTGTTAAGAGATCCTAGGAAAATGCAGCATTTGAAAGCAGTGCTGTGCTTTTGAAGCAGATTATCTGGCACCTGTTCATGTTCAAGGTGCCTTAGGACAATCCTATGTAGTGGTTTTATGCTGGGGTCTCAGTTCTCCCACCCCAAGGATGGTTGGGCAAGTTCAGTGAGCAGAACTCCAGCAAAGTCAGCACAGCTCTGGGTGTGGAAATCCATCCTTGAAGATACAAATGCAAATTCAGGTAAATGAAGTGGATCAGTCTGTTTGCACGTCTGTGATCTTGGCAGCTGCTGGAAGTACCATTTGAATCCCAGAAACCTTCTGCTGGCAGATGATGCAATTGGAGAAAAGTGAAGGAACGTGTCCATTCAGGCAATGTGATTTCTGTGGATTTCACTAGATTTATGTACTGTTGGACCTGCAAGGCTGAAACAGTCCCTTCTTACTCTCAAGTCTGATTTTGATGCCCTGCAGTCACCCAGAGATGGGGTTTGGTTTTCTGAATGAACTTTCTTCAGCTGAGTGCCCTTACTTCCCTTTTTCAGAAGTGGTTTCTAAAATGTTACATTTTTGTGAACTTTTATTTTCATTTACAGTTTCTGTGCAATAGAGCAAAGCTAGGTTTGCTGTAGGAAGTCCCTGATGTAAATGCCAAGGATATTTTCAGTACTGTTCTTTCATACTGGTAGTGTTTTATCTGCCTCCGTTTCCAGCAGCCAGAATAAAGCAATTTTTCACTACTATCTTTTTATTTGTACTAACTTTAAATGGGATTGAAGTAGCATGTTCTTACCACAAAAAAAAAAAAAAAGTGCCCCCATGCTGGATTCACTAAAAAAATCCAAGAAGTGTGAATTTAAGCTGTTGGCTGGTTCTTTTCATTTGTGTGTGGTGAAGTCCTTTGAGTAGTTTGTTCTTACATCTTGTCCCTGTGGATTGATCTGATACTCTCTTTATGTAGTCTTCTACAGAACTTCTCTCAGCCAAACCACCACTCAGTATCCCTTGGTTCCTCACTCACTTCCAACAGTGTTCCAGGAGGCTGGCCTTAAAAGTTGCAAAATGGAGCAAAACCAGTCAAGAACAAATCCAGTATCACATCCTGCCCCGGGTGTTTGCAGGAGGTTGGCAGCCTGCAGCGTGTGGTAGACTAGAAGGAGTAACTGTGGCATGTAGAGAAATAAACAACATCCCTTGTGTGTTTATACTGTTGTGCAGTTACATTTTAAACATGTTTATAGTGGTCACTTGACATTTCGTACTGTCCAGCCACCTTTTTATAGTCCTTGGGTTGGTTGGTTTGTTTAAGAGATCAGTATGCTAGATCATCTCATTTTTGTGGTAGGTTACCTTGGAAGAGTGTTTTCTTACTTAGCTGACCTGCCTCCACGGGCACCTAGTTTTGTCTGCCTTGGTTCAGTTGCAGGATTTGAGCCTTTTGTTTGGAGTAGGTAAATAGGCTGGTTCTTTAAAATAGAAGTTTTCAGAGTACCTTGCTTTAAAAGGAGTAAACTGTATACTTAATTTTAACAGAGATGATGGAAGCACCATGTACTGTTTATATAAAATAAGCTGAATGTTTCTGCTCAGAAGTTTTCAGTAAATCAACATGAAGACTGAAAAGGTGTCTTGTGCCCCCGTCTGTGTTGGTGTTCTCAGTACTACTTGTGAACTGATTCACTTTCAGTTAAGATGCAAATCCAATTAGCTTGTGCTTTAAAGAAAATAAAAATAATTTCAAACAGCACTTTTTTTTTTTTTTTTTTAAATTGATAAACTTGATTTGTATATAGGAAATGGTGTACATTGATAAGTTTATAATGTTTAATAAACAGAGTTCTGACCAAGGAACCAGAGTGCTCCTATGGTTTGTGTCCTTGTCTTTAGTGGTGGTATTTTTGTGTTTCTGGGGGTTTTTTCCTTCTTGGCTGCAGTCTGAAGATGTAATTAGCTCATGGCAGTAATTGTGAGTGAAAGATGTCACCCTTGCAGGCAATGGCAGTGTTGGTGTGGGCTGAGCCTGGCAACAGGATCTCTGTTCACCTGCTGCTCTCCCTTCTTGCCTCCTCTTGTCTGCAGCCACCCACTGCCTGGGACTGTCAGCTCCTCTGGGACAACAGCCTGGGATTTCCCCGTGGCTGTGTAACAGAATCCAGATCTTTAAAGATGTGGCTGTTGAAGGGAATGTTGTTCTTAATACCAATCCAAAAATTTTCTTTAAGAAGCAGAATCTGCAAAGCACATAGGCATAAAAAAAAGTTGTGGATCTTCTGAGGGGTTGAGAGGTCATTTTAGCAGAACCCTAAGAGCAGTTTCCTTTCCTGGTGTTTGTGGGTTTCCCTTGTGCTTGCCCCTCTCCAGTAGCAGCAAAAGGGGCTCCTTGTTTTTGAGGCAAAGTTTAGCAGGTCAGATCTGCGGTTTCACTGGGAAGTCCTCAGGGTGTCTCTACACAGCACCCTCTGTAGCACAGCTCCTGCAGCCTCCAGGATCAGCTCATGATTCTTCCCAATATAAAAGTCTTCTTCAGGAAGGCCAATCTTCAGGGGTGCTCAGGGGACCCACAAGGACTGCCTTAAATTTTATAAACGGTTCTTTGCTGCTATTTTAGAAACGTTTTCCTGTGAAGCTACTTTTTGTACAGGGAAGGAACACACCAACTCTGCTGCCATGTCTTTAGTATTAAAGTATGTACTTTCTAGTTTTTCAAACCTTTAGGAACTGCAGTTTATTGTGGTTTGATAGCACAGCCCCACAATTTCATCTGCAAATCTGAAAATCTTGCCTTCTACAGAGCAGAAAGTGAATGTTTCAGGTAGACTCTCTACAGTCAAATGTGCAATCTTGAGGATGATATTTTGAATTTGTACTGGTATTTCTTTTTTTTAAAAGTGTGTTGGGTGTCTGAGACCTGAAGAAATAGGTCAGTGTTTTTAAGCTCACTAAAACAGGGAATTACAGGAAAGTAAATACAAGGAGAATATTTTCTGACCTAAGTATAAGTGTGTAGAGGCCAGTCTTGGGCTGGGCTGCAGCTGAAGCTTGGATGTTGCTCTCCCTTCTCAGCAGACCTCAGTGGCAGCGAGTTGGAAAAACCTTATCCCAGGGTATCTCAGGATACAGCCTGTATGAGGGTGACAGAAGCCACACTGCATGCCAGGCTGTTCAAAGGAACTGGTTTCAGTAGAAGGAGAAAACAAAAAAGGGAAGAAATTATGGAAGAAAATGGGTGGGTGTTTTTAGATGAAGTGTGAGAACAGGTGGAAAATATCTGATGAAAGCCACTAAATTTGTGTTTCCAAGAGGCAGTCTTATCCCTAAATTATTCCACCTGCAGAAAAATTTGTGGGTAAAAATATAGGAAAAAATGTCACAACTGTTTGTATTAATTCAGCTCTGTTATTTTTCATTTCAGGAGAAGAAAGGGAAGCTAAAAGAAGTTCAAGGTATTTTCTAGAGTCTAATAGAAGAATAGCAGTGAGTGGTAGAGGGTTGCTTATTTATTTTCATATGCTGATTATTTTTAAAATTACCTTTTCAGGTCCCTTTCTGCCTAGTGTATTTCCTTGTTTCAATTTATTGATGTGTTTTCAGCAAAAGTTAATTTAGCCAACTGTTCCGTTTGAGAGAACCAACAGCATTGCAATGAAAACTGGAATTGTTTGGTGGGAGTGATGGGAATCCTGCTGGGGCCAGGAACACAGAGCTCTGCTGGGGTTGGAATGCTTAAAAAAAAAAAAGAAGTTTAAGTTTTGGACTTCAGATTTTTTGCTTAGGGATGTTATTGACTAAACAGAATGTCTCTGCCTCCTATGTTTAAATAGATCACCTTGCCATGTTTCCTGTGCAGTTCATAATAAGACTATATAAAAATGACATAAAGAAGGAATATTTCTAATGCGAAGAGTCATCATTTGCTGTGGTACTTGGATATAGTCATTTGGTTTTTATTTTTAGCAAACAGCTAAAAAATAGTCTTATGCTCATTTTTAATGACTGTTACACTGGTAAGGTAGGACCATTTCTCATCTGAACAGGCAGACTGGTTCCTCTTCAAGACTAGTTTCTAAGCAAAATGTGCCAAGTTTTTGTGCAGTTACTGTCTAAATGATGCAGTTTCACTGTCTGTTTAACTACACTTGTTACAATAAAACTTATGAAAATCTTTTATTTTGGATTAGTTGTCTTTATTTGACTAATTTCTTAAAACGTGTTTGTTTTGAGAGGCAAGATGGACATGCCTTCTACAGGAAATACAAAGGCTTCATGAAAACCTCTGGGAAAGGTGTGATTGTTCATTTAATAGCACAGAAGCACTTTTAAAGTCTTAGTTTTTAATGATGTGTGATACATGAGCCGGGGGTTTAAAGGATCATTAGTGACAGAGGGAATAGATATGGAATGTATATTGTAATAACTATATCCTGCCTGTAAATAAACTACTGTAACAGAAACTGCCTTCCTCTTGCTGGAGTGTCTTGTAACCTCGTTTAGCAGCTGCACTGTGAGGCTGTAAAGCCTCTGGTCACACTTTCAGATGAGGCTCAGCAACGGATTTAGGTGGTCAGTGCTGGGGTTTGCTTGCTGGTGGGTTTCTTGGGTTTGTTTTTTGCTATTTTTTGTAATCTAGGCAGCGAGCAGCAGAGTGAAGTGGCTTCTCACTGTCCTTGTCACTGCAGCAGACCTAGCAGTGCGAGGGGCTGCTTGGGTTGTAGCTGGGGTGGAAGTTGAAGCGGTCGGAGGTGGTGATGAAGTTGTCCGGGCCGGTGACCAGGCTCTTCTCCATGGAGGTGTTGAGCCCGTTGTCCCTGTACATGCCAAACTCTGCCAAAGTGTTGGAAAAGGTGTGCGAGGCGACGTGGAAGGAGGTCTGCGAGGGCCAGAGAAGGGGAGGGAGGTGTTTTAGTGCCACCGCCAGCGGCACCTGCCGCCTGGGGAAGTTCGGGGCGATGATAAAGGGGAAGGACCGGGGAGCTCATCGCGCAGGGGCCAAAACCGAG